ATTTGCTTTTAAATTATTTAAAATATCGGCATAAAAATCATCTTAAGATATTTGTTTAATGCACATAATAAATGAAGTCTCTATATTTAACTCGGCAAATATTTTGGTCATCTTTATTAGTGCAGACTTGACGTCGATTCACACCGCACTGCCAGCGAGAAATCCAAGATTAGAATTGAGGAAAATATTTAAAGAGGTTTAAACGAGTAGGAAATATTTATCGAATAAAAAATATTTTTATCTTTGCATTTTTTTCTTAAAATAATGTATTTAAAGAATCAGCATCTATTATTCTTGAATTGTTCTTATCGTGATATATATATATATATATATATATATATATATATATATATATATATATATATATATAATTTTGTAATGACGACTTTTTGAACCCGAAACATGCAACATTCTCGACTTCACGGCCAATCACTTGCTCTTTATTTCTCCTTTGTTTTTTTTTAATGGACATATAAGTGATGAAGAAGTCCAGTTACAATGTTTTTATATCGTGTTAGAATGTTTTCAGGAATATTAGATAAGCACTATAACATTATAAAAAAATATTATTGAGAAATTTTTTGCTAATTTTTAATATCCTTCAGCAATAATTATGAATTATATGATTGTAAAAAATTCCAAGATTCAACTTCGAAAAACTCAATATATATATATATATATATATATATATATTTTTTTTACACTATGGTATAGTTGTTTTAGCAATACTAAAAAAAATATTATAATGAAGAATTTTGTAATCAATTTTTAATATCTTTCAACGATAATGAACTACATGTTTGTAAATATATCACATGTAAGATTTAACTTTAAAAAAAACTTAGTCATATTATTTTCAATGATATCATCGTTACAAAAAAACATTATGATATGAATGATATTATCGATCAATCACCATCTCACACCCGTCCAATGCATGGCATCTAGATTGGAAGAATGAGACAAAAGTTATCTTTCACCGATTTACTCATGTGGACATGGATTTAAAACAAATAGCTATAAGTTGTCTCCACCCTCGTAAGTTTGTTCTTAACTGTCGACGAGCAATTAGTGAGAAGGTAGATAAATTGTTAAGATCATGGTTCATTACTCGTTAAAAAATATAATGAAAACTAAAAGATACGTGTTAACTATATCAATCACAATAAAGCATACCCAAAAAACAATTATCCCCTTCCTCAAATTCACTGGTTGGTTGATGCTATCTCGAGTCACGAACTTCTTACCTTTATGGATAAATTCTCATGGTACAACCAAATCAGAATAATGTCGGAGGAGCAGGAACATACATACTTCATCATGGATCGAGACATATATTGCTACCAAGTCATACCCTTCGAGTTAAAAAACGTAAGAGCAATATACCAAAGGATAGTGAATAAAACATTCAAGTATCATATTGGGAGAAATGTTGAAGTTTATATGGATGACATGATAGTGAGGAGTAAGACGGCTAACACACATCTAGTAAATTTGGTCGAGACTTTTCAAGTTTTGAAAATGTTCAACATGCATCTCAACCCAATCAAGTGCGTTTTCAGAGTAAACTTAGGAAAGTTCTTGGATTCATCATGCGTCGAAGAGGAACAAATACATACTCCAAGAAGGTGTGAGCTATATTAAGGATTTTTGTCAACCCTATGTAGTTGAACTAAAGTTTAATTTGATAGCTCATCCTCAAACTAATGGTTTTGTCGAGGTCACCATCCGAGTCATTTTCAAAGGATTAAAGAAGTGGACCACTGGATCAAAAGGCACTTGCATAGATAAACTATCACGTACCTTGTGGGCTTCTCGAATGACACCTAAAACTAGGTCGGGAGAGTTATCATTCAGCTTAACCTTCGGCACTAAGATTGTCATGCCACCTGAGGTAATCTTTCTAATACATTGAGTTAAGAATTTTGATGAGAAAACCTTTAAAGAATAACTTCGTCGAACTCGACCTAATCAACAAGGTCAAAATAGAAGTACACCTAAGGGCATTAAAATACAAGAAAGCTAGCCAAGCTTTCCAATTAAGGTGTTTGCCTTTGGGGAGTTGGATTTGGAGACTTAATGCTTTGAAAAGCCGACATTAATGACCTAATTGGATCCTTAGATAAGCTAACCCCAAATTGGGAAGGGCCTTATTAGGTCAACGAGGTCATTTGAGATAGAACCTATCACCTTGTAATAATAGAGGGAGTGTTACAGTTAAGGATATGACACATTGTAAACTTAAAAAAGTTATACACTTGAGGCATCCCTCAAGGTCTAGTCGAGGTGACTATGCCCCGAACATCAAGCCTTATTCTGCCATATCTTTGACACCAATTGTAAAAAAAAAAAGAGAGAGAGAGAATATTTTCGAGGAGTAGGTGTTACAAGTTAAGGGAAATTTTTTTTTCTTACTTTAAAATACGACACCAACTCGGTTGAGCCTCTACATCTAAAAAGATACATCTAAAAAGAGACCTCTACCTACCAAAGTAAATAAATGGTTGGGTGGACAAGTTCGACGATATAACAAAGTTAAAATACAAAAACTAGTCAGGTAGATAGACCCGACGACTCAGAGAAGGCTAGCATAACATAACATGACAATGGACTAAGCATTAGGACGAGATGATAAGTTGGGGTTGTCATTAAAGGGGACCTGGTTAGCTGTCAGAATATTTTGATCTTTGAGGTATTTGATAAATGGATCTTCCTCAATATCCACTCGAGATATCTTACCTTGAAACAAGCTAAGGCAGCATAGCATCCGTACTGATACAAGGTAACTCTCAACCTCTCTAGACCTTTTCTTGAACCCGATGGAGGGCTTATAGTCGATAACTATCTCCTCCTGATACCTCAATATAATAGTCCTCTCAACCTCCAACATCTCCCTCGAAGCCCCAAGCTTGCTGTCTAGATTATGAATATACTCTTTTAAGGTGGCCAACTATTCAATCACACTCGTGACCCACTCATTGGTTGTGACAACTTACCCCACAAGCTCAGAGTTGTAGGTCCTTATTGAGTCCAACTCTCCAGTAAGTCGCAGTAGCTCATCCTCCATGTTATAGCTACTATTATGCCGAACCATTTTTAACTATTTAGCCTGATTAGCAAAGCATCGCTCGACCTCTTCCAACTGCCTTGTTAGTTCGACTCTCCAAGCTTCTTCTTTGATGATAAGTGTTGGGTCTCCTCTCTTCTTCTTTAGTTCGAGGTGTGTGAGTCGATAAAACTTGATCCGTGTAAGAAGAAATTCATCATGGCAAGAGTCACAAACAAATGTGCCTGAGGTATGTGTATTGACAAAACCCAACTCACATAATGAGAAACCCACCAGGATGGGAGGTAAAAGACAAAATATGCTTGAGGTACATGAGTCAACAAAACCCAATTCACGTAAAAAGAAAACCATCATTGCAGGATATATAAGGCAAAATATATTAGAGGCATGTGAGTTAAAAAAATCTATCTCACTTGAAGAGAGCTCTCAAAGGCATAAGTCAGATCTGGTCATGAAAATCGACTCACATAAAATGAGACTTGTCCAAGACATTGAGATCAAGAAAATCCGACCACCTCGAGGCTAGCCTAAGGTGGAGAGGTCGGGTGCCGACCCCCTCTTCGCCCGAGATGGGCTAGTCGATGCTTGACCTCCCTCACTAACCAAGGTGGAGGGGTCAGGTGCCAACCCCCTCTCCGCCCAAGGTGAGTAGGTTGGGTGCCAACCTCTCCCTTTACTCGAGGTAGAGGGGCCGGGTGCTGATCCCCCCTCTACTTTAGGCAAGTAGGTCAAGCACCGACCTTCTCTTTTGCTCAAGGCAAAGAGGTCAAGCATTAACCCCCACTAACCAAGGTAGAGGGGTCGAGAGTCGACCTCCCTCTCCAATCAAGGTGGAGGGATTGGGCGCCAACTCCCTTTCCATCTTAGGTGGGTTGGTCATGTGCTGACCTCTCACTCTGACCAAGGTGGGCAGGTCGAGCATCGACCCCCTCTCCGCTTGAAGCTGGTAGGTTGGGTGACAACCTCCTCCTTTGCTCAAGGTGGAGAGGTCAAGCATCGACTCCCTCTTTACTCAAAGTGGGCTCGTTAAGCGTCGACCCTCTCTCCGCCCGAGGTGAGCTAATTAGAATGCGTCAATTGCCTCGCTACTCGAGGCAAGGAGGATAAGCTCCCAACCCCCTTTTGTTGGCGTGCCCAAAGTAAATCGGTTTAGCACCCCTACTCCCTCCCAAAGAAACGATCAAAGGAGCGTAAGGCCTTGCTTATTGCTTACGTGGGTCTAAAGCAAACAATTATCGGCTATCTCCACCGTTATTGCCTACTTAGTCAAGAGGCCAAATTGATATCGTTAAAGGTGGTTTAAAAGCTATCCCTTTGAATAATATTTCATAGAATACTCTGTCACTTTATTACCAAGTATAAAAGCCCTTTGTTAACATTTTACCATTGGAGATTATACTCATCTACCTCATGTTATTAACTTAGGTATCAAAATAATCGAGTTGAAAAATCTCTCTCGACCTCTGTCTTTATACGCATGACACCTCAGAAGCTCGATATCCACCTCGTAGGCACCTTACATAACCCTACGTATATTGGTCTAAACCACAAGTTGACTCAAACATCAATAATATATTTTGGTAACACATTGTAACTGAGAATCAATATATAAGAATAATAATAATACAAAATATTATTCTCTCATATTGGTTTGGATCGATCACAAATTAGTTCATAAAAAATAAAAAATATTAGTCAAAGATATTTAATATATTATGAAAAAAGTTATTAGGGAATTATGAAAATGATGCTACTAGTAAATTCTGAAAATGAGTTTATTCTCCCAAAAAAATATAGACATATATAAATTAAAAATTCAAATGAGATACAGAGAAACTCGAAATTTTATCTATTATACTGCTGCCTTCTATCAGGCTGCCGACCAATAGGAGCGCTACAATTGCTGAAGCGTGTGTTCGTAGGCATAACGGCGAACCGCACGTCGACTTCCAAGTGGCGTGCCCATGAAAACCCTAGTTCTTCCCTCCTATAACTCTCTTCCCCTGTCACACTCCGCCGCTGACATTTGCCCTCGTCTGCTTGACGCCCCCAAATCTCCGAAGGTAATCTCTCTATCTACATCTCCTCGCTGTCGATCCCTTCGTTTCCCCGAGTTCTTTCTCCCGTTGTTCATCTTTTTGGTTGTCGTTCAGCGACAGAGCTCTTCCTCTCCCGATGGCCGCTTCTTCAATCGGAGAGCTCGCCTGCACCTACGCCGCTCTCATCCTCCACGATGATGGCATCCCCATCACGGTTCTTCCCTTCTTTCCCTCCCTCTTTATTTACGGTTCTTCTTTCGTCCGCAGCGGTCGTCATGACTTCAATGACTTGGTATCTGTTTCTGTGTGATCTTTTTGATTCCTTTCTTTTGCCGCCTTCCCGAAACGATCAGTCGGAGAAGATCTTAACCGTAGTACAGGCCGCCAACTTGACGATCGAATCCTACTGGGCGCCCCTCTTCGCCAAGCTCCTCGAGAAGAGGAGCGTCGATGATCTCATCTTGAGCGTCGGCTCCGGTGGTTCGATTTCTTGCTTTCTTTTTCTTTGGCTTAGAAAAAAAAAATCGATTCCGAGACTTACTTTGCAGAATGTTTGGATGTTCTTGCAGGGGGAGGTGGTGTTGCTGTGGCAGTCTCCGCCGGCCCGGCCGCCGGTGCGGGTGGTGGCGCTGCCCCTGCTGCTGATCCAGCCGCGGAGGAGAAAAAGGTGAGAATTTTGCTCTTGGATTATCTATAGGTTGTCGTTGCACGAGATTCCAATCATTTGAATTGGATTGGTACGGCCGAAGGGTTTGACGTGTTTCCCGCCGACGTTGTTGCTGCAGGAGGAGCCCAAGGAAGAGAGTGATGACGACATGGGATTCAGTTTGTTTGATTAGAGATCGCTAAATCGTTATCGTTGTTAGGTTTTTGATATAAGTTTGCTTACTGCCATCGTTAAGTCTGGTCATCCATTATGAGTCATGATATTTCAGATTCTTCTCCATACTTGTGGTTACTTTTCACATCAGTGAATTAAGTTATTAAGCTCATTTTGATATTGATGGCATATTCTAATTTTTTGAGCCATTGTAAACGTAATGTGGGAATCGGTGGCTTTCAGCTTAACGGGGCTATTCTATCCATATATTTTTAAAAATTATATTAAAATCTTTATACTTATCAAAATAAAATATTTAAAATAAAAAAAATAATTTCATAATAATAATTCTCATTAAGGATGAGATATAAAATTATATCTCTCACTTTATATTTTAATAAAAATTTCAATGACACAGAGAAAAAATGAAATAACATTATATCACTTCAGTTTCCTAAAAAATTTGTTTTCATATCAAAATTATCTTTCTAATTTTATTTTAAAATTATTTTTTTAATATAATAATATGTGTGATATTTTCATCAACAGTCAACAGAATCGATAATATGAAAAATCAAATTAAATATAAATATGAATCTATATAATTAACTCGAATTTTTACATGGCATATTGCTAAGACAAATTTTCTATTATGATAAAAAGTAATGGCCACCATAATTAGAAATGTCAGTCACAATGCGATATGAAAATTGCAGCTGTCTACCTGAGAGGATAAGAGAGCTATATGAAAATTCGAGATCGAACCAAATGGTCTTAACTTAGAACTGCGGCAACAGATCAAAATTTTATTACGACAGTTGGATCTTATATCTCCCTTGGAATATAATGTCGCAAAAATAAACTATTGGATTACTCAACGAAGACAAGCTTACGATTCTGCAATTGTCACTTCGACCTCCACCCCAGGTTCGATGGTGATCGAGGTAATCTGCTTCACAACCTCGGAAGAGCTGACAAGATCGATCACCCTCTTGTGTACACGGAGCTCAAATCGATCCCATGTGTTGGTTCCTGCAAACAACAAAGAAAACAAAAAAGAGGTGATCATCAAGTTTCACAAAAATAGCTGACCACATCATAAATAGAATGAAAAGCATTTCTTGGTTCAATTTATCATGAACGTGGTTGACCACCTCTAACTTGACCTTTCTATATGCATGCCTACAACACAAAAACTCTACAATCGTAAAGGAGCAAGCACACCAGCAGGCCATCCTTATGGTGAAGCGGGAAATTGAAGACTCCAAAACAACTAAAAGCGGTTAAACACAAATCATGTTATCAGAAGGAATACAAAGCTCTGCTGTTTGATCATGTGATCAGAAGCTTATTTTGAAAAAAAAAAAAATAGTGATTAAACGAACTAAAGTAGCACCAGACCTGGTCGGAAGGACGTAAATCGAGTCTACAACCCGTTTTCATTTGTAAACATGAAGTACATAGAGTATGCTTATCACAGTCTACATATCATGAGGGTAATAAATTCTGCTCAACTTCTCCAAGGAGCCTTTCTTTCAAAGCAGTACTCCATGCCAAGACCAAATGAAGTTGAAAGAAATGACAAAATCCTAACTTGTCATTAGTATTGAAGAACTTAATGGTAAGACCATAGGCAAATAGACTGTGCATCAGTATTAAAAAACTCGATGTGTTGAAACTTCATAAAGAATATCTCAGCATCAACTAAATTATCCTCCCATCATTTGCACTGTAGAAATCATCTGCCAGCAACCACATACAACTAAGCATTTAAAGCCAATTAATTCCCAGAACCATCGCTTTACATTTTGATACAAGCAATGAATGCAAGAAACACTTGCAAAGGCATTCAAAAATGGTGTTTAACAAATACAAAATACTCTCCTTTTGTTAAGTCTGAAACTTTGCAAATTTCCAATATTTGAAATGATGATCGAGCTTTTACTACACCGGGAATGTGTTCCTATTTATTAATAGGATTTTGGTTCACACGACCGACTGCAGCAAGTGCTGACAAAAGTTTTTGTAACCAATCTTTACAGAAACACTTAGCTATACATTTTCTTGCCAAAATCTAAACATTAAACCATAACCCCTTAAACATGTATAAAGTGACTTAAAGACAGTGAATCATTTTTTTATCTTCCAAATTGCCTAGTCGGATACACTGTCCAATGTTTTTGTAGCTTGTCGACTACAGTTTATGGAGCTCATGATTTTCTTTAAGAAAACAAAGCATGTATAGTTGGCAGTTGCTTGTAGAATAGATATAAATGCGAATTTGTACGTGTACATCTACATACATGCATATACATGGACATATATCTACATACATATGTATACATGGACTTCACCAAACGCTGCCATTTGACTAAGAATCAGCTTTAAAAAGCTCAATGTCCAGTACTTCAGGGGCAGAAGCTCATTCTTCCGTTTCTTAATATGAATGTATGCCAAGTCAACTGAAGAAACCACTAAGCTTCGTATTGTAGGTAGCTATACCTTTGGTTTCACCTATCATATACAGCATCATTGATCAGAACTATCATCTGTGCTCGATAAGTAATTTGCTGGAAAGAAATACAATATTCAAGGGGATGCTATGAAAGGACATGAACATTTACTAAGCTACTATGAAAAATGGGACTTGTATGACAATGCAGCAGTTATTATACCAGAGAGCAACGAACTGGCAGATATATTGTGAACTAGCATATTATTTTTAGCATTACCAGAATGTAACATTTATCTCTTGGTGTGGTGATTCAATTGTCGTTTATTCAAATCCCCAACCATAAATATCACGACTTATATCCAAAATGAGACCATATGGACGTTTTGACTATCACTGCAAGACAATCAAACAACACAATTGTAACTTTAACCCCACCAAAGTGTCCTATACCAAAGAACCCAAACATACACCAACAGCATCAACATCCAATGCAATTGAAGCTTTTAAATGGCAACATTAAGTTTATCATGGGCATCAATTCTTGAGGCTATCAAACTAGTGCGAGGGACGCAAAACTTCAAAGATTGGCATGATGAGCAAAGAAAGGACATGATAAGAACAGGGAGGATTTTAATACCCTCGCCACAAGGAGATTTCCTGGTGGTGATGTGGAGGACCTTGGTGGGCATTCTCACGGGCCCCTTCACAGTCAGCCGCTTGTCCTTTGCTCCCCTCACTAGATCCGCACAAACTATACAACAAAAAACCGATCAGAAAGGGAAAAGATGGAGGAAAAAACGAGGGAACCGAATCGAAGTGAGGCACCGACCCTTCTCGAGATTCTTGACGTTCTTGGAGGATAGGGTGATCCGGATACGGTGGAGCTGCTCGTGGGGCTCTTCAAGCCCCAACTTGGTCGGTTTCATTGCTCCGTACGCCGCCGCCATGAACAAAAAAGACCCAAATCTAGCACGCACAAGGCAAGACCTAACACCTCGGAGCGGAGATGGAACTTCCAAAGGATAGACGATCCACGAAGCAAGAAGAAGAACGGTTATCCTTACCTTGCTTCTCTTGGCCGCCGCCTACGGCGTAGCAGAACAATAATAACACTCGGGAGGATAGGGTTCGCTGGGGGTCGAAGTTATATTGGACGAGGAGGATAATTTTACACGTGCATCCATAACTTATTCTAAATTTCACATATACCCCCTCAGAGTTAGAGTTCCGTGCAATTGCCAAGAGGGCGGCACCGACTGCGGTGAGACAGGACACGACGACGGAGACGACAAGAGACGAGGGAAGAAGGCGGGAAGGTCCACGGGTCACCTCGCGAAGGTCCACTTAACTTTTCTTGCAGAGGAGGAGAACGAAGAAGGGGGTGCGGCGTTCACCTTCCCCCCGCGCACCTGTCGACGCCCGCCTCCGGTTGCTTCGCAGCTCCTCCTCCTCCCCCTCTCTCTCTCTCTCCCTCACTCTCACATCCTGCAGTTAGGATGCAAGAACTAACTCGTCGGAGCAGAGCTGGGCTTGGAGCTTCCATTTGGAAGAATCAACTGTGTCATGGTCGGCACACTCGCAAGAACAAACACGTCACGTTCCTTATCAGCAATAATAATCGAAGAATGATCAGGATCGTCGCATGCTACAAAAAATTTTACAGGAAAAGTAGCGAGAACGACTGGAATTAATTGTCATCGGTTTAAAACCCCGTGTTACAACGTCGAACATCAATCCAACTCGAGTTATGAAACCTAATATCAAACCATTTAAAGTCTATTATTGATGAAAGCAAATGCATGATTAGCAGTGAGACAAATGAGACCTTGGTGCGACTTCATCCTCCAGGCAAACTCATGTTTATGTCTGCAGGCACTGACCGTAAGGAAGCAGCCCAGCTTTCCTCCCCGAGAGGGGATGTAGTTGAAGGATCCAGTTTCCCGGTTGCCGCCCGATCCTGCTGCCCTTGGCCACTTCCGAAAGCTTCCTCCGCGTCTGCGCTGGAACTGGGAGCGGCGGACGGTGGTGTCGATGCTGATCCAGCTTCCAGTCTGGGCTTCTTAATTTTCTGCTCCATCTGGTAACTTGGCAAGAAACTTCCCACTACAACCTACCACACAAGAGCAGGGAAGCTAAGAATGATGTTTGAATATGCATAGGTTTCGCAACCGTTAGTTCACCTGAGCAAAATATTCCCAGTATTTTGCACATATAAAGATCAAACATCAGTACTTAAGAAACATAAAACGGGACGCAGTGAAAAATCAGATGCCGAAAAAGCAGGCAGTATATTTCATCCACCTCACTCGATTAAAACATCAGTGGGAAACCAAAGGTAGATGCTTAGAAGTGTACTTACTTGGTTTAAGCTCAAAGAAACTTGATTGAAAGCAAAAAAAGGTTTCCAGCGAAAAGAATTATTCAGGCAGGCAAATGACACTATTTTAGATCATGAGAATGTGCAGACTTGAGCGCTATTACCTGCACTGGACTTGCAGCCACCAGCAAACCAGCAACTCCTCCGCCGACGACTCGACCATCTGGACTTGCCAAAGAAACACTTAGACCACCCGATCGGCTTCTCGTTCCTCCATTTTCGGTTGGCATGAAAGATCCAGATAAGGAGAGCAGTTCGAACCGGCCCTGATAAACAGCAGGTTAGAGACATTATAAACAACAGCACCCGCACTCACCAAAAAGGTTGCAAGTCTCTACCTATAGCTGATGAG